CGCGGGAGCGAACGGAGAGTTTCAGGCGCATAGGTGGTGGCGTCCTACGGCGACGGGAGGGGGAGAGGAAGGGGATGATGGCTCACAGGGCCCTGTAGATGTGCAAAGGCGTGCTCGGGGCAGCCGGTCGGGGGAGAGGCAGGAAGGCGACGCCGACAAGGTGACGGCGAGCGGCAACGGCGCGACGTCGGGGCAGTTCGGCGCGAGGGCGAGGAGGCGTCGGCGTTGACGGAGTCCGGCATCGCCAGGGTGGGCGCCAGCGTCGTGGGGTGGGAAGGCGCGGTCGCCGGGGAGAGGCAGCGGGGTCGGGCACCTTGGCCGCGGGCGCGCGTCAGATCAAGCGAGGGAGCGGGAGGAGGGGATCGGGGCGAATGGCGGGGTCGGGGCGTCGCCCGATCCAGATCCTGAATCGGGGGGAGGAGAGGAGCGAGGGGAGTGGGCGTCGTGCAGGGGGGCAGTGGGCGAGTGGGGCGTGGGGAATCGGGGCGGCCTAGGGTTTGCCCTATAGGCCAGAGGGAGGGGCCGGCTGGGCCAAGTGGGTTGGCCAGCTGGGCCGTCTAGCCCAGTTGGGGGGTGTTTGTTTTTTTGTGTTCTTTTTGTTTTGAGCTTTTTCCTTTTATCTATTTTTCCTTTCTAACTTAGTTTCTATTTATTTTAGTTTTATTAAGTATACCACTAGCCCCTAAATTAGTATTTATAAATACTCTATTGCCACATGAATTTCTCATACCTAATAAAATAGTTTAATGTTTTATAAAATGCATTTAATTATTTGTTTAAGCCACTGTTTTATTTAGTTTAGTGCTTTTAATTATTTTTTAAAAATGTGATCCTCCACCATAATTACCTAAGCATTATTTGCCACCTCTAGAACATTTTAATTTTAATGTTTGAAAACTTTACCGTTTGACTTGATTTTAAATTTTGAATTCGAATGGGATTGAATCATCGTGAGATTTACAACAGTAAGAGTGGTGACGTGGCCTCATTAGTAGAGGTTACTGTAGCTTGATTATCCGGGCGTCACAACACTTTAGAGCATGAAAACTATATGCTACAGGAACTTAACATGGCAAATCAAGGCATGACATGAAGCTACTCAAAGCACTCAACAAAAGTCAATTAGTGACCTTGAGCCAAAAGGGATCAGAAAATACAATTGCAAGCATGTAAGCATGGCAAAAACATAATCAGATTACAGACTTAGTGAAAAACTGGAGCATGCAAATCTGTTAACGAGTAGGCATGTTTACGAGCTCGATGCACTCACTACAGAGTATGACATGACAAACTAAGAATACACTCATCAAGAATATATATCATAGAAGCTAGACATGTCAAGAACAACAACATAGCATGCACGGATCAATAAGAACATCCTCGGCAAAATCGCTAACAAGACAACAATCTGCCAGGATTCACGAAATAGCAAAAGTAGAGCTCGATTGACTCAAGCTAGGGTGCTCCATAAATGCAAACAAAGACATGGATGGATAGAGCACCACAATGTTAACAAATCATCCTTACTGATCATCCTCAAAAGAGGCACGGATCACTAGTAAACAACATGAACATAAGGCATAATGACAAAAATCAGGGCAAGGACTTAGAGAAATTCTAAGTCCCTGAAATCAGCATTACCGAGTACGCTACTTTGCACGCTTGTGCTAGTCGCCATAAATATCACAAAAATACATGGCAAGCACCACTTTAAAAATGGCATGGCATATAACAAAACACATGTAGAGCTCAGGATCATATCATGCACACAATAATCATGGAAAAAATGACAAAATGCCATTTGCTGAAATAGATCTGACAATTTTATCACATAGCCCTCTTCCAACAGTATTTTGGGCATCAAGATGAGCTCAAATGAAAATGATACAATGAGATGAAATGATGTACTCGTCGAGACGAACATTTTGATATGCTACACGCTCAAAACGGAGCCACGGATGATGAATTAGATGCGGTGAATATGGGCACATGAATCTGGAAATCTCGGGGACTTGGAGGAATTTTACCCCGCGGGAAAAGTCAACGGGTGGACGAGGTGGTGCGGGATGAGAGGATCCGGGGCGCGGGAAGGCTGTTTGGATCCGGGGATTGGTGGATCTGGTCCAGCCTCACCAGATCTGGCTGGAGTTGACTCCGGTGAGGGGCGGCCGACGACGGGGATTCCGGGCGGCGGAGCTCTTCCGGCGAACTCGCGCGGAACTGGGGCGGCGAGGTGTGCAGGAGGCGGCGCGGTGCGCGGCGGCGCACGGTGCGGCGACTGCACCGGCGAAGGGCAGCGGTGGCCGGAGCAGGCGACCACGGGCGGCGGGGCGGCGGCGACCCGCGGCGGCTCGGGCGGGGCCTGGCGGCGGAGCTGTAACCGGGCGGCGGCACGAGGAGATGGGCCCCGCGGGCCTGATCCGGGCCGCGCGGGCCGGCGGCGGGGCTGGAGGAGAGAGAGGGCGACGGGGTGAGGTAGCGAGGCCGGATTGGCTGAGGGTGAAGGCGGACACGTCCGGTCGCCGGGCGGACATGTCCGGCGGCGCGAGGAAGAGGGAGGCTAGGGTTTGAGGAAAAGATCCGAAAACAAAAATGAAGGGGTCTATTTATAGAGGTAGAGGGATCTAGGAAGCTCCAAATAAGGTGCGGTTTTCGGCCAGCGATCGTGATCGAACGACCGAGGTGATGGAGGAAGTTTAGGTGGGTTTTGGACCACTTTGAAAGGGTGTTGGGCTGCAACACACACGAGGCCTTTTCGGTCCCTCGGTTAACTGTTGGAGTATCAAACGAAGTCCAAATGGTACGAAACTTGATAGACGGTCTACCGGTAGTAAACTAAGGCCGCATGACAAGTCTCGGTCCAATCCAGAAATGTTTAACACCCACACACGAAAAGAGGTAGAAAGGAACACCGGATGACCTAGGAGCGCCGGATTGCAAAACGGACAACAGGGAAAATGCTCGAATGCATGAGACGAACATGTATGCAAATGAAATGCACATGATGACATGATATGCAATGCATGACACGCAAGCAATGATAACGCCACAACAGCGAATAACTGGAGAACACCTGGCACATCGGCCTCGAGGCGTTACATGGGTCATCTCGGCCCATCCACTGTGTGCTATCATGCTGACCTGCTCCTCGCTGGTTTGCTCCACGGCCTACGCCGCGGCCAGCTCTGCCTCTTCCGCGCCCCCTACCTCCACCCGGGGCATTCTCTGCACCCGGGCCACGGCCCGGTCCCTTGAACCAATCTGCCCTGAGGTTTTTGAAAACAAGGGCCGATGGGGGATGAATTCCCTCGCCACATTCTTTGAACAGGTGACCCAGCATACCACAGACAGCACACCAGTCGGGCAATCTCTCGTACTTGACCCTAAAAATCTTCCTTTTCTTCTTCACCACCAACGAGACTGCGTTCCTGAGAGGCTTCGTGACATCCACCTTCACACGCACCCTGAAAAAATTTCCCTCAAAATCCTGGGATTTCGGTTCGGCATAGACAAAATCACACACGGTTGCAGCCAGGGACTTGATCAAGGGAAAGAACAGCTCCGGGAGGTCATGAATTTGGATCCACATCTCAATCTTGTTCAAACTAATCGCTGATGGTCTAGTGATTCCATCATATGGCTCCATAACGACCGCCTTGCCCTTGAAAGTCCATGGCCCATCCTCCATTACACGCTCCCAATCACCAAGGAAAGAGAATTGTAATGTATATAGGTTATCCTCCAGTGGTCGGAATTTGACCTCTTGTGCTAGATCCCAGGCGACCCTCATATTGCGGAAGAACCAGTACTGGCTATATTGCTTCTCGATGTGCACACGAGCGATTGCCATCCAGCGGGCCGCTTCCTCCAGTATGTCGCCGTCTTCCACCACTATGTCCACCAAATCGTCCTCTTTCAGACCTAGCTCTTTCATCATTGCTTCCATGTCGTTCATCGCCGATTCAGACGCCGACGTTGAGCCCTCCATCAGATCTCTTGCCCGAGAAAAACAGCGGTTTCCGCGGGCGGGATGTTCCCTAGACCCACCTCTTATCAGCCACGATGCCGGCCGCCGGGAGGGC